GACTCCGCGTTCCCCAGGCCCCTCTGGGAGCTGGGAGGCCGCGCTGACGGGTCTCCAAGCTCCCCGCCCCCTCGCGGTGTGAATGGGCCACGGATGGAGGGGCGGGGACCCAAGGGAAGATGCTGGTGCCTTTGCCTGATCCCACCCCATCCCAGGAAGCCCAACTCCTCTCCATTTCTCTTCCTCTCCCTCCTTCTTCCCCTCCCCTTCGGGAGGACAGCTTGAGGGATGACGGTTGCACATCACGCTTGACTCTCTGGTTCTCAAACTAGAGCGTGCCTCAGAGTCACCCAAGGGCTGGTTAAAACGCGGTAGGAAGAGATTATTGTCCCCCAAACAGGTTCAAGTGAGACTTTGTAGGATTTCTAAGGAGCAAGGGATTGTTCCTGGCAGGGGGTGGGGGATGGGCAACGCTGATGGGGGCGTGGCATGTGAGCTGGGCCTTGGAGGACGGGTGAGACCTGGCCACGTGGGTGATGAGGGAGTGAGGATTCTAGATGGAGGGAACTGCAGACCCAATTGCTTGGAGGTGATTAAAATGTTGGAGAGTTATCATGGGAAAGGCAGGGGCGGGTGATTTACACTATGACTCTATAGAAATGTAGGGTTCACAAAGGTTTGTAGTAAAAGATAAGGGAGAGCTAGGCTGTGGTTGGCCTTTGGACCACACTATGCATTTGGGATTCCATGGGCTTCCTTGGTTTCAAACCCAAACCATCCAGGGGAGGTTATAGGTGGAAAACTGCACACCGGGAGGGGCAGAAGACGGGCAGAGTCACCTTTACTGCTGATGTTTGACATCACTGCCCTGTCCTCTGCCCTCAGGAGGCATGGACCCTCTGTTAACCTGGCCCTAGGAGGGACTCAGCTTTGCCCAAGAGCAAAGCTCTGGTGATCCACCAACCAACAGTCAATGTGTCACATGGAAGACAATTAGAAGTTGCCCTGGCTGGGTAGCTCAGTTGGTTAGAGCATCATCCCAACACATCAAAGTTTCAGTTTTGATCCCCACTCAGGACACATCCAAGAATCAACCAGTGAGTGCATAAATAAATGGAACAACAAATCGATGTTTCTCCCCCTCCCTCCCTCTCTCTCCCTTCTTTCTCTCTCTAAAAATCAAACCATGAATAATTAGTATTTTTAAAAAAAAGAAATGCAAAAGACACTACAAATACATGTGTCCTCCCAAGATTAGTTCCCCTACTGATTGTATCTTAAAGGTAAACTTTGTCTCAAACTGCTGCTACAATAAAAGGCTAACGAGGCAGGCAATGGAGGCTGCCATTGGCCAGGCCCTTTGGCCAGGCTGTCCCTTAGCCCACTTTTTCAGAGAGAGAGAGAGAGAGAGAGAGAGAGAGAGAGAGAGAAATGCAGAATCTCAGTCCCCACCCCAGACCTCCTGAATTAAAATCTACATTTTAACCAGACTCCTGGGTGACTGCATAATGCTTGGCATTTAGCTTTCAAGTGGCCCAATATAGTGCATTAGCAGTGATCCAGGGAAGGCCGCACGTGGTGCACTGCGGGTCGTCCACAAGCACTTCCCGAGGATGGTCTCTGTGCGCCCCAGCTCAGCCTGCAAGGCCATGGCTACATTACTCCCTTCCCTGGGGCCAGGCCTTCAGTGACATGACATTAGCGGGAGGACACAAAATGCTCCAAACAAGTAGAGCCTCTGCTCAGATCTGCCTCTAAAACCTTGAACTTAGAGATGATATTTACTCACTGGCACCAACTGAGAGACCAACAGAACATGTTTTGGGGGGGGTTCTTGGATTTATACATTGTATCCCAGAAGGCAGGGTGATACTGCCTATTAGGAAGCCACTCTGCAACCTTGATTGAATGGCACCTCATCTGGTTCTCAAATATTTATTAATAGTGACCTGATTTCTGTTTTGGTGTGTGTGTGTGTGTTAGTAAGCAAACATTTTATTGGAGCTTTCATCCTTAATTATTCTGGCTTATTTTGTTTTTCAGATCTCTCACACAAAGCTTTCTGCGGATGATGAGTGGAAGTAAGTGATTAGTATATTTTTTATTGCTGTTACACTAGAAAGTAGATCTCCATCTTAACTGTTTGAGAAATTAAATGAAGCCCTCATTTTATTTGTAAATTTCCTAGGCTAGAGAAGGTGAGTTAGCATAGCCAGGCACGGACAAGGGTAGTATAGACAAACCACAGTGTGCTCCGTGCCACCGCACAAAGCTGGATCTGTTTGTCCTTCAAAATCAGGCAGCGCCGACTCAGTATTTATTTGGGGCACAAGATACATCTGGTTTTCTTCATATGCTGCTCCCCCGGTGTTCTGCTACCTGTCACCACATGAAATGAAGTAAGAGTGAAAAGTCCCTCCTTTTTTGCTTTATGGTAATCAATCAGGAATGTATTCCTGATCAAAATAGGAAATACTACATTTGTATACCACTTCATACTTCCCATCGTACTTCCACATCGGTTAGCTATTTGACATGCATTTTCATTATATATATGTATGTATATATGTGTATATATATGTATGTATGTATGTATATGAAATAGATTAATGTCAGAAAGCATATTTTGTTTGATATCTATGCAAGTCCTATTTTAGGCTGCTGAGAGGTTTATTCTTCTATCTATATGGCCTAAATTGAAAATTTATTCATTACGTAGAATATTAGACAGCTATTTTGAACTTGGGGCTGTAAACACTATTACTAAGTTCTTGTACCCTTTTATTTTTTTTCACTTCCCATTTCTTCAGAGGAATGGACATATTTTTTAATGAGCTTCTAAAAACCATTCTTGTCTCCTAAGCTCAGCTTCAACACAGAGACTAATGGCCATGTAATCTTACTCAGATGTTTACCTGAAATAAACTGCAGTGTCTTATAGTTTGATAAATAAAGGGTTTCAATACATCTTTGGTGCCTTCCAGCATTAACACCCTAAGATTCCATCTCAAATAAGCTGAACTCAAAGTGAGACTATTTATTTACTAGGCTCTGTGGATTAATTTCTGCACATTCTCCAGCAGGGGGCACCCCTGGGATTTGAATGGGGCCCTTTTCTGAGGCACTGCCCTGCTCTATATAGTACTGTAGAAAGGCTTGTAAAGGGGAGAACCCAACCCACATATCCAACAAGTCCCTTTAAAAGGTCACTATCTTGTGACACAGAAGATCACTCTGCAGTTTTTTCTGACTGGTACCTTAACGAAATGCACACTGTAACCAGCCATAAGTGGAAACTGTAAGAGATTTTTGTGACTGATGGTGCTTCACTGGAGATGAAATCAATGCTAAACAATATTTATAAAGTTATTGGTTGGCAATGTTCATAATTTCCCTCCTTCCCTAATCTTGACCTGGACTGCTCTTTCTTCCTCAGGCCAGTGGTTCTCAATCTTGGCTGTATCTTAAAATTACATTGGTGGGGAACTTTAAAAATTACTGATGCCTAGATCACCATCTAGAAATCTGTGATCAGTTTCCCAGCATTATCATAACAAAATGCCACAGCCTGAGAGGCTTAAACAACAGAAATTTATTTTCTCACAGTTCTAGAGGCTAGAAGTCCAAGATCAAGGTGTCCGTGACTTTTGGTTTCTTCTGAGGCCTCTCTCCCTATCTTGTGGATGGCCGCCTTCTCACTGTGTCTTTCCTCTGTGTGAGTTTGTGTCTTGATCTCCTCTTCTTGGAAGGACATAAGTCCGATTAGGTTAGGGCCCACCCATATGACTTCATTTTACCTTAATTACCTCTTTAAAATCCCTGTCTCCAAATACAGTCTCATTCTGAGGCATTGAGGAATAGGACTTCAACATATGAAGTCCTATTTGGGGTTAGAGATGGGGAGACACAATTCAGCCCATTATACCCAGCAATGGTGTTTTTAATTGGTATGATCATTGAATGATCACTTAATTCATTTAATTGATCTGGGGTACAGCTTGGGCACTGCGATTTTTAACTTACAGCCAAGGTCAAGAACCACTGCTCTCGGCTTTCTTCAAAGCCACTTCTGCTATAGTTAAGCCAGATGACACCACCTTAGTGGTTTTCTCTACCAGTGTGCAAAACCAAGAGTCCAACTGAAAACCTGAACATTCAGCCATCATGATTTAACCTAATTATTATTATTATTATTATTATTATTGACAAATAAAATAACATATGTTCTTTGCAGTTTTAGAACAATCCTGAGGTACAGACAGATCATTATTTTAAATTTGCAAATGAGGAAACTGAGGCTCAGAGACCATAAGTGACTTATGAAAGACTATATATGGTTATTAACTGGCCGGTCGAGGACTGGAACCCAGGCCTTCCCAGGACCCATATTTTCCCCCCATAACTTAACTTGAAAGGACAAGGCTGAAGTCAATACACATGGAAAAACTAAGGCTGAGAGGAATTGGCTTTGCTGATACTAATAAGTTTGGGTTCCTCATCTCAACTGCCTCTTCCCCAAGCCTGGGAGAAAGGGAGGAACCAAGAAAATTTAGGAAAACTTTGCAGTCAAAGCTTAAAATCCCTTACATTTGAAATCCCTAATTGCTTCTTATGGGCCCAGCCTATTTTTTTTGCTAAATGTGCAAAGGTTGAGGACTTTTGCGGATGACCTCATTTGCTGGTTCCAGCCTGCAGCAGGAGAAGATGTACAAGATGCACCGGGGCCATGAGTCCATGCACGTGGAGATGATCTTGATCTTCCTCTCCACCCTGATCATCGCCCAGATAGTGCTGGTGCAGTGGAGACAGAGACATGGCCGGTCCTACAACGTAAGTCACCCTGGTGGCTGCTGGAAGCCTGCTCCTCTTGCGGCCACATCCCTCCTTTTTTTTCTTTTTTTACCACTTTGAAGAAAATGGTTTGTTGAAGTCAGTGATTCTCAACTGGGTACAATTTTGGCCCCAGGAGACATTTGGCAATATCTGGAAACATTTTTTATCCTCAGTGGGAGGGGCTGGGGGATGCTGCTGGCATCTAGAAGGTAGAGGCCAGGGATGCTGCTCAACATGCACAGGACAGCTGCTTACAACAGAAGAAACGTCCATAGTGCCAAGGTTGAGAAGCGCTGGTTTAAGGAAGCCAATTTTCCTTTTGTGCATGAACAACTCTGCCACTGGCCCAGGAAAGGAGCATTAGGAATTCCGGAAACAAAAGGTGAGGCTGTCTAACTTTGTTCCATTGGCAATAAGCTCTGGCACTGATGGCTTACATATTCATGAAAGCTTGTTAATGTAAACACTGCACTGACAGCCACATAGGGCACAATCCCATTTTCAAAGACCAATCCCACCGGAGCATGTCCACCAGACCTTTGCCATCTCACGGCCTCAGGGGCATCCCCTGGGCATTGTTGGGCCTGAGACCTTACAATGTTTAGAGCAGTGGCTCTCAAATCTTATGGTGTCACTCTATTACCTACAGGGCTTATTAAATCAAATTCTCATGTCCCATCCTGAGTTTCTGATTCAATAGGTGCCCAATCATTTGCAAGTCTAGCAAGTTCCCAGATGGTTCTGGGACCACATTTTGATGATCAATGGTTTAGACTTGAGTGTGGCCGAAGTGAAGAAACATTGCAAAGGGAGAAGGTCCTCAATGGTCACTCTACATGCTTCTGGGTCTTGGACTGGTCATTTATAAGAAGATTCACCTGTGACATATGAAGTGCTCATGGCTCTGGCCCGTATTTCATTTTCCTCTTACCCATCATAAAGATTATTTTCTGTGTAGCACAGGGCCTAAGGGAATTCTTTACAGTTCTGTATAATACTTAAATTTAGGCAATTTTGTACATTTTACATAGAAAGCAATCTTGGGTGGTTTGTTTGTTTGTTTAGGTAGAACAGAAGAGGGAAAGATATTTAGAAACATCAATGTGAGAGAAACACATGGATTAGTTGTTTCCTGCACTAGCCCCGCCCAGGGCCCGGACTGGGGAAGAGCCTGCAACCAGGGTATGTGCCCTTCAGGGGAATTAACAGGAATTAACGCAGGACCCTGGGTCCACAGGCCAAACCAGCTAAGGCTTGGGTAGTTTTCTGTTGTTTTTTTGATGAGGTGGTGGTTTTTATTTAAAAGAGCATGTATCAATTTGCTGCCATGTCACTATTGTCTTGTTAATTAAAATAAACATCCTCTACATTACAGAGTTTTTTTTTAATGAAGGAGACTAGAATTAAACCTCATTAGTTATGCTCTCATATCAAAGAAAAGATTCTTAAATATATCTTAAACATAGTTTCCTTATCTGCAAAATAAAAATGCCTAACTGAATTACTGGAGAAACTTACTTATACTATAAAAACACTGTTATGTTAAAAGTAAATGTTTGGAGAAAGATATGTCATGATAGCACTAATAAAAGAAAGCTGGATTAAGCTATATTAATTTCAGATACAGCAGACTTCAGAACAAGGATAACTATTAGGGATAACGAGGGGCATTGCACAATGATACAAGGGTCAATTATTCCAGAAGACACAGAAATTCTTTTTTAAAATTTATCCTTATTGCTGACAGTATTACAGTTGTCCCTTTTTTCCCCATTGAGCCCTTCTAGCCTGCCCCTGGTGTATATGTGCCTAACAACAGAGCATCAAAATACATGAGGCAAAAACTGATAGAACTGCAAGGAGATATTGACAAATCCACAATTACATTTGGAGATTTCAACACCCTCTTTCAGTAACCAATAGATCGAGCAGGAGGAAAATTGTAAGGATATAGTTGACCTGAACAGTACCATTGATCAACTTACTTTAGTTAACTCTATAGAATGAGTCATCCAGCAACAACAGAGCACACATTCTTCTCAGGCTCTCATGACGCATTTACCAACATAGACCACATTCTAGGCCATAAAACACACCGAAACAAACTTGAAAGAATAGAAATCACACAAAGTACAGTTAACCTTGAACAAACAAGTTTGAGCTGCACAAATCCACTTATATGCAGATTCTTAAAAATCAATATTCAGTCAGTCCTCCACACCCCCAGGTTTCACATCCGTGGATTCAAACAACTGTGGACTGAAAAGAGAATCTTTGATCCCAGGTTGGGAATGGACTTATTTCAGAGGGCCAATTTAAGATATATGCAGATTTTCAACGGGGGAGAGGGGGGGGCAGACGCCGGTCAATGGTGCCCCTAACTCCTGCCCTGAGCTGTTCGAGAGTAAATGTTATACTCTCAGACCACAAAAGCTAAACTAGAAATCAATAACACAAAGCTAGAAAAATCCCCAAATACTTGGACTTTAAATAACACAATACTAAATAACACGAGTCAAAGAAGAAGACTCAAGAGAAATTAAAAAATTATTAAAACTAAATGAAAAAAACACCATATCAAAGTTTGTGAAAGGCAGCAAAAGCAGTGCTTAGAGGGAAATTTCTAGCATTGAATGTATACATTAGAAAAGAAAATTAGGGTCTAAAATCAGTGATCTAAGTATCTATCTTTCAAGTATGAATAAATAAGCAAACTATGATATCTCCATACAATAAAATATTAGTATATAATAAAAAGGTATGCACTATCAAGCCATGAAAAGACATGGAGGAACCTGGGTGAAACAAGCCATTTCAAAGGCCACATACTGCGTTGGTGGTATAGTGGTGAGCATAGCTGCCTTCCAAAGGCCACATACTATATGAATCCAATTATATACCACTAGAGGCCTGATGCACAAAAATTCGTCCAAGAGTAGACCTTACTTCCCCCGGCTGCCGGCACTGACTTTTCTGCAGCACCCGGGACCCGGGCTGGCTTCCCTCCAGCCCTGGCTTTGTCAGGAAGGACCTCTGGAATGATGTCCAGAAGATGTCCGGTCTAATTAGCATATTACCTTTTATTATTATAGATTCTGAAAAATGCAAAACCATAGAGAGAGTAAAATGGTGGTTGGGTTTTTTTTTGGACAGTGGTTGCCAGTAGTTCAGGGAGGTAAAGAGGAAGGACAAACAAGTGAAACAGGAATTTTAGAGCATTAAAATAGATCTGTATAATACTGGATACAAGACCTTATGCATTTGTCAAATCCCAACAGACTACTGTGTACAGTACAAGAAGCAGACCTTACGGTAGGCAAATTTTTAAAGATCATTTAGGAGATTGGGGATCCCAGGGAGAAATGCAGATGGTGACAACAGAATCTAACTTCATTATAAATGTACTAGAGGCCTGTTGCAGGAAGATTCCTGCAAGAATAGCGCTTCCTGCGGCCCGAGTGAAGCAGAGAAGGGAGCAAAGCCTGCCTCCGCCGCCCCCCTTGCTTCCCTCCCGCCTCCGCCGCCCCGCTTGCTTCTCCGCAGCTTCGCTCCCTTCTGCAGCACTGGGCTTCCTTCTATGTTGTCTTCAGTCTTCGCTCCGCACCTGCATATGCAAATTAACCACCATCTTTGGGCTAATTTGCATACTCATCTGATTGGCTGGTGGGCGTAGTGGAGTGACACCAATTTGCATGTTTCTCTTTTATTAGTGTAGATGAGACAACCTCACTGAAGGGCACTGGGGGTCAAGGTGCTGCTCCATGTGCCTCTGGAAGTGAGACGGGTCTGTGTAAGATTAAGGCACTAGGAGCTGCACATGAGCACTGTACTCTAGTGGATAAAACTGTTTCCCAGGAGGGTATAGGTTAACAATTCCGATCCTGCTATATATGTCTGTATACTGGAATGGGAACATTATCTAAACCATGGCAGATGGTGGGAGTGGGAGTTTACGGATAATCGAAGGGAGGAAACTTTAAAAAGTAGTAGGAAGTGCACACAGTAACATGTGTGAACAGCTTTGTACGCTAATTATTATTTATACATTTATTTATACTTTGAGGGCATTTTTATTGCACATCAAGTAGCATTTTCACATTATTTCATGCATAATTTGGACCATGTACGTCAGAGGTGAGAGACTAATCCAACATTTTCAGACACAGCTTTTAACAAATGGGTTTATCTTCTGAAGAGATCATTTAATTTGTCTCTTCAGATTCTGCTCTGTGGTCTGTAGAAGCTGTGAATATCAGAGCAGCTTATTATGATAAAGCAAAAGAAACAGGCTATTTAGAAAGCAAAGTTTTAAAACATAATATTAACTGTTCCTAAGTGATGCCAAAAAGTGTCGAGAGAAAGTAGATAGAAAATGGAAAGTTGTTATTTGGTTTGGGATACAAGTAAATACCTGGATGTTTCCAAATACTCATATTTTTAGCATAACGTAGTCCAAGCATCTGGATATTTGAATTTTTCTCTTTCCAGCTGATATGGTTTAGATATAGGCAGAGCCTCAGAATTAAATTATTTCCAAATGCTTTTAACAGCATCCAATTAAAAATAAAATTTCATTCAACACCATCCTCTCCACCTTCTTTTATGTCTCCTACTTTTCATATCTGCAGGAAATAGGGGGGAGGGTGCCAAAAAAGAACCTTTCTCCTTCCCTTCAAACCAGTGGAAGGCCTGATGACTACATACACAGAATTGGGGTTTCAGACACACTGTTAACTTGCCTCAATACACTGGCAAATCCTTAAGCCACAGATTGAAACATTGCTCTATTTAAAACAAACTCCCTGCCTATTAATAGCTGTGAAACATTAGAATATAGTACTATACCAATAAACCATTAGGTCTGTTCACAGCTTTTTAAAACGAGGCAAGGTGCAGATATACACATACTTACATAATACTGCAGAAGCTCCTTTAACAGTTTAAATAGCAAATTCAACAGTCTGAATTGATTTGAAGCTAGAAATCTAGACCTAGTGGATTTCTAAGAATCCTTCATATGCCAGGATTCCGTTATTTTACTTATTCAATTTATGCCCACACTTTCCTTTATTGCCTTTGTACTGATAGCACAATATTCTTGGAGTCGTTTATGTACATGACAATTTTCTGCTTACCTCTAGCATCTCTCTGCTCTCCCTCCATCCCACCCATACAAGTACACACAGACACGTGTACACGTGGCCGCAAGCATAGCAGCTTAGGATTTGCAGTGCAAAGGAAATAAGTATCACATACATACATAACTTCCCTTCCTTCCTTCCTTCCTCCCTCCCTCCCTTCCTTATTGTGTGACCCATTCACCATCTAGTACAAATAGACAAAAGATACCTTTGTTTTGTCTTGATTTGCAATTCTTTTCAGATTCATACATAATGCATGGCAAAAGAAAAAACATGGTACCATTGGGCAGCATCTGATCCGTCAGGACAATCCTCCTGCCATGATGTGCGGGTGGGGAGAAGGTGGGTGATATGATCCAGATGCAGGGCCAGTCATGCAGATGTGTTTTATATGCACATGCCCAGATGGTGACCCCTCTGGCATCATTAATGTGTCCCAGCTGCCAGGCTCCTCCGTTGCATGCATGCACCTCAAGTTCACATATTTCATGTGTTTATTTATGAGGCACAACATTCCTACATTTCATATGTGGCAGTTACTATTAAAAATGAGAGGTTTTAACTGCTCTGGAAATTGATAAAGAATTTTTAAAATTGCTATGAAATGTGGCCCTCATTTCAAAAGGACTTCTCTGCACAGCCATTTAATTCATAACACAAATTTCTGACCTTTGTCCTTGCATGTTGAGAAAATGTGGTGCTGGGTTTAGACTTTAAACATAGTTAATAAATTGAATATTTGCATACAGAATACATTATAATGATATATATGCTTTGCTTTCCGTTTATTTCTGATCTCCAAGGCCTATTATTTTAAAAAAAAGTAGCAGATCTATACATTTGAACATTGTTATTCTCTGTTAATTAAATCCAGGCATCAAGTAAGAGAAATTTGGGTTTTTCCAGGAATGGGTTGTATTTATAAACCCACAGGGAGAGAACTAGTTTTTAAAAATATAGTCCAATCATCACTTCAAACTATCATGGATTATAACTCCACCGATTTGAGGAAATTGATTAGTCTTGTAAAATTTAGCTTATAACCTAAAGTATAAAATATGGGAGCATGGTAGTTTCACTGAATATAAATGAACCAATTCAAATTTTTATTAAAAAAAAAACCTTCAGCATATTTATAGGGGAAGTAAAAAGATGAATCAAATTCTTAAAACAGAGAGATAAAAATGCAAATGACAGGTGATCAGATTTTGAAAGATGGAGTTCATATCCATTTCCTTCTTTGATATCAGAAGTAATGAACTAAAAAATTCAAAACCTACAATAAAGCATAGATGATTAACTCCACAATAAGCAAAAGGAAATAAAGGAGCAAAATACTGATGAGGACTTCCACACTTTTATTCTCAACAGTAGAGGGTCAGTCAGACCGGCATGGCTTAGTGATTAATGTTGACCTATGAACCAGGAGGTAATGGTTCGATTCCCAGTCAGGGCACATGCCTGGGTTTCAGGCTCAATCCTCAGTGAGGGGCGTGCAGGAGGCAACCAATCAATGGTTCGCTCTCATCATTGATGTTTCTATCTCTCCCTCTCCCTCCTCTCTGAAATCAATAAAGATATATATTTTTTAAAAAAATGAGTTATTTAAAAAAAAACATTAGAAGCTCAAAGTTGCTAATGTTGAATGTTAAAAAGAGTGAATCTTGAGTTTTGGTTTCCTCACATATGGTTTCTGGTCCTCACAAAAACTATTCTACTTCCTTAAGGAAGCCTGTTTTTCCTATTTGAATATATA